CGCTATGCAGACAGTTAGCTGATAAATCGTTTTATGCCTTATGGCGTCGTTTTCTGCAGTGCCTCAGGGTTGCCTTGCAGCGGCCTCGTAACTTGTCGTTACTGGCAGAGTTGGTTCCGGATTAACGCAACCCAGTTATCCCGTAGTAAGGCATTTTAGGGAGCATGTGCTGGTTCAGACTCGGGACAGGGGGCGACGGAACAGGATAGGCAAGGAGAGGAGGGAGGCAAGCATTGAGCTGGCGAGGAAGGAGCAATGCAGCAACAAGCCACCCATCCAGAGGGCGAAACTACAAGGGGACAAGCAAAGGAGCACTTTCCGTGTGAAGATGGAAACACTCTGGAAGAAAGAGAGTGATCCCCATCGACAAGGGATGCACTTTCTTTTTTTGGTGGCACCCGCCACGCACACCCCCTAACCAACACTTCTCTTCGGTGCACTTTTACGCCCCTGCCATCGTTTCTCCCCCCTTCTTGGCACCTTCCCCAGCCGACTTTGTGAGCTGAAACTTTTCTTATTCGCTCTTTCCTCATTTACCTCTTCAAAACAGCCCTCTCATGAATCACAACAGACACAACGCACACCCCTCCCCACTGAAGAAGCTAAAACTCACACCCCGCTAAACGATGTTCTGCACGCTCCATAATCAGATAGATCTTCCGTGCCAACGACTCTCAGACCCGCCCTACCAGGGCCAATATATGGAACGTCCTCTTCTTCCTTTTTCTGTTTCTCTTTTCGATCCCAGCCGGCCGTGGTGGCGTTGCCACGTTATTATGCTCTCCGTCGTCGACGAAAGGCTCCGCAAAAGTGCGTGCCCTATTACGATCAAAATATCGTTAATTTTGAGACGTGATGCCCACATTTTCCGTCTTGTTGTCCAGTGTTCCTGCCCTCAGCTTTACGCTCTGACCTGCCACTCTCGGCCACCTGCCCTTTCCCTTCTGCTTCGAGGCCCCCTTTTGTTGTTGTTCGCTTGGGAGTGGCTCCCGGATCGGCTGCTTGACGCTTTGAGACAGTCCACGGTTGCTCTTTCTTGAAACTGAAAATAGTGCCGCTCCTTTTCGTAGCGCCTGATGTTAGCGGCGCCTTCCTTTAATGGTACGTTGTCAGCTGTGATTTCCGCTATTACAAGCATTGTTTTGTGATCGTTAGTTGGACTGGCGGAAGGGGCGTATTACGCTGTTTCCATTTTGCTATTTGTCTTGGGCTGTTTCCCCTTTCCTTATTTCGTCTTCTATTCCACCCCAACTCTTTTGTTTCGCCTCCACCCAAAGGCAGCACTCACTCACGCACATCTCTTGACGCTGGACGTTTGCCTTTTTCACCGTCATCCGCTCCCACTGTTTTTGCATCAACGAACACTGAGAACGACGATGCCACAATTACAGCCACCCCCCTCCCCCCACTCCCTTGCGACACTCCCCTCCCTCCGCCATTCTTCCCCCTTACCCACATCTGAAAACTCGCATGGCGTTGGCGCATCTGTTTTTAAAAAAGGACAGGCCTGGGCAAGAAACAAAATGTGCAGCACAACACTAGACACGAGGCCGAGCCAGAACCAGAACCGGACAACGAAAGGCAACCCAAGTTATTAATAAAATGAAGACCGGCCATTCTGTGTCTCGAGTTGCGATCCGTGGAGCTCACCCAAACGAGCAACCTGTACGGAAGAATGTGGAGGATGCCGTTTTCTTTCACGCTCATGATACTCTTTCCCCCCTTTCGCTTCTTCCATCTTTGTCACGACCAACAACGGCAGGACTGGATTGCTGCTCTCAGTCGGCCTGTTATGTGACCGAGGCAGAAAAGGACCAAAGTACAACGTAAGATACAATCAAACAACGCAAGCCTGCAGCGACCTTTTTGATGGGGTCAAATAGCCCATCCATGCCCACCTTCGCAAGCCGATACGCCCCTTCATTCTCCGACTGGGATACCAAAGAGAGACATGCGACATGCCACCCCATCAGCAGGGCTAGGAGGACCAGCAGAAAGCGCCAACAGCTAACAAGTTGAACCAAGAGAACCTGGTGGCCGCCCAAAAAAGCTGACTGACCGAGACCTTGCCCAACCGAACCACAAAGAAATTTCACAACGCTCAACGTCACGACACTCAACCGAACGAGAAGGAGGTGACTCTGCCCTATTTCAGTCCGCCAAACGCAACAGTTGACCCCAGCCGCCTCAGTCACAGACTCTCACTCACATCCGCCAGACCTTGATGTTTGACCAAGAATAGGAGTCACGGCTGTGCCACAGAGTCCACCATTAAGCCGGCATCTGACGAGAGATGCATTCCGGTGCATCAGTGAACAAGAGCATGTATCCATTTTGAGAACCGACAACGGAACATTCAACCTCAGGGAGTTGGGTGGGTTAGTTGCACAAGAATTGAATGGGATACCTTCAAACATGGGGCAGCCGTTTAGCGGACTCGCTGGGCCCGGGCAACACGGGGATGGTCAAGATATGATCAAAACGGCGGGAAACACCACGACATGATGAAGAGACAAAGAGGCAGAAAGGGAAGATGGGGCGTGCGGTTTCCGAGCGAGAGGCGTTTGTGGTGTCCGTGGATGAACACATTTAGTGCCGTCTGCCCCCCTGTCCTCGCTCTCGCGCTCGCCTGTTGGCTTTCAGTTCCGGCTTCTTTTTCGATTTCCATGGCTGTTCCAGGGCCAATCTCCGCTATGGGCACACCCCCTGCTTTGTTCCACCATGCCCATCCATCCCAGCGCCCTGTCCCATGTCGCTCCGCCTTTTGCTTCTCCAAATTCGTACATTGTTTTCAGGTATTTTTTGGGGCTTCCTTCCATCCCTTCCACAACCTTTCCAGCCCTCACGAGCTCGCCTCCGGTCATCTCCCCTGGCCCTGACCGCCACCCGCCCAAAAGAACCGGGGCTATCCATCATTGACCTGTAACCGAACAGCGAAATGGAGTCGCCTGGTTATAGGCCAGTTATTCTGTGCTTGCACGCGGAGTAAGATGTGCAAGTTCGATACTTGCCCTTGGCTGGACAACACGACTAGCCCCATGCTTGTTATGGCTGTCACCACCACCCAGAGCCATCACAGGACACTACGACACTCAGTACCACGGTGGTTGCTCACGCATCACATCGTGACTTATTCAACCCGGTCTGATCCACACCTGGTACAATCCGCTCGCTCCGGAAATGCGCGCGGAGTCGTCGCGTCGTAGGCTCATCTCGCCTCCTTCAACCGGCGCCAGACACGATACAGTCGGTCACCATGCAGTCGCAGGTCTACTACGATACACAAGCCTGGTATATGGGAGGACGAAATCTTACAAGCTTCGCCAGTCGCTCTAGGCTTCACTCGATGAGATGCCAGGACACACCGCGCATTCAGGTTGCTCCGTATGTCTAGGGTCTTTCATTACACGGTCGCCGTGTTTCGTACCGAAAATGGGTCTGCTCTGGGCTTGTGGCTCTTCGTTTACCTGAGATGTGGTTCTCGCCCCCCTTTTCGGCCGTCTTTTCGAGACTCCCTTTTTCCACTGTTGGCGGCCGCTTGCACGACTACTACGAATTACATGCTTTTTCTTTATTCCCCATCGGGGTAATACATTTTTGTCATTGCCACAGATCCCTGCCGCCATCCAGATGACGCATGCACCCTGCGACTAACCAATCCTTTCAACGTCTTTTCAGGTTTGTCCTCAGTCAAGCCGCCGACCCACCCCATCACCTTTCTCTCCTCCGCTCTCGCCGCCGCCTTTATCTGCCACTTACGGTAAATCTGCCAACTAATAACGAACATAAACAGACTCTGATCGAGCAGGGTACAAAGTCACTCGCTCATTTATCCCTCGCCGCAGAGTACGGAGTACTTTTTGTTTTAGTCCGCCCATCCATCCCATATTTTGACTGCCCCCATACACATCCGTGCCCACAATCCACAGCCACAACCAAACAACCAGACACGCACCCAAACCCAGACCCAGACAACTTACACGGCCAAAGCACCTAAAACATCCAATATGCCTAAACAAAGCGCACATCCTCTCGCCAGCACCCGCCCTCGTACCAACGTTGCGTTGTACCTTTGCCAGATGCAACCAAGGAGGGAGTACGGAGAACTCTGGCAAGGTGTTTCTGTGTTTCCGTTCGTACCTTTCTAATATCTGACCTCCCATGTTACCATGTCTGTGGCCGCGTCCAAGAGTCAAACATGGCCCCGTTTCTTGTCTAATACACGGCGCTACTCGCTACTCCATATTTCTGCCCTTCCGTGCCAATATGACTACTGTCCACTTGATGTGCAGGCTAGCCTTGTCATGCTTGATTGACTTGTTTTGGTATTTGCCCATGGCCCTTCACTTTCTTTTTCCTCTTTCCGTCTTCTTTCCCTTTTCGTTCGTTCTTCCTTTGCCATTCCATTCCACTTTGTTTCTTCGCTTCGAGGCACGCCCTCTGTTTCCCATCTCCCACACACCCCCTTCTTCCCCATCATAGGTGGAGTTCGTCAGGATGATACTTAACATAGCTCGCTGCCATCCTTTCTTAGACTTACCACTGCTGAACATATCAAATTCAACACGACCCAGATCGCCGATATATCATAGCGAGGCGGCCACTTCTCGCCTCTTCCCTCGTCTCTACTTGACCCTTCACCATCATATTTCTTACAACCGGACTGCCTCTCACAACAACCTCACAATACATTTCTCCCCTCCTCTTCCCCCTCTTCATATTCGTCGTCATATTCTTCCTTAACCACCAACATGATGTCCTACGCGTACGGCAACCCGTACGTAAACATGCCGCAAACCACATCAACAATGCAGCCAATGCAGCCAATGCAGCAGTCACAACCACAGCCATCCCAACAATACCAGCTATCAACATTTCACCACCAGTCGAACGATGCTTTCCTCGAGAACCTTTCCCGCCAACTGGCATCAGTTTCGTCGACCTTGAGAAGACGGCATTCACGATCCTCTCATTACGGCTCAAGGACACCGGGCTCCGCGATGCGCATCACCAAGCCCAGCAGTGCCAACAACAGCCCGCAGACATCGGTCATGATGCAAGCACGGAAGCGCATGGCCCACGATGTCAGCTTGTACGCCAGCCCGCAATGGGTTCCCCAGCAACTGGTCACTGCCCCGGACTACCTCGCCATCAACCACCGCTACGATACGTCTGTCGAAGCCGCAGCATCTCGTCCAGCACGGCCAGTCAGCTGGCATCCGAGCGGCTCATATTTGATGCCCAACCAGCTTCAGACGCAGCAGCAAGTTCCCCTGTCTCTGGCGACCAACTTTCAGATGCCCGCCCAGATGTCCGCCTACGCCACGCCTGCTCTCCCGGTTGCCGATTACGAGCCTTTTCCGGCCATGCAGCCGTTCGCCCTCAGCCCGTCCGCCTATTCGAGCCAGACATCGCCGTCCACGGCCTTCTCTCCCTACTCGAGCAACCTGGACAACACCACCGCGGGCCATTATTACTCGCCTAACCCGTGGGCACTGTCGCCTTCTGTCAATGCCAACGGCGCTCTGTTTGACAAACTGCCGTCACCGGTTGACTGCCCGGCCTTGATCACGGCTGATCCCCATTCGCAACAGGACCAGCAACACGAGCAGCAGGAAGTCCCTGCCAACCAGAACCAGGTTTACCAGGGTGAGCAGACCCAGAATGTCCACAACCAACCCGCGACGGAGACATCCACCTCGACGGAGTGGAACAGCTTCGCAACGCACGATTTTACGGCCCCGCGGACACCGCCGGACAACAACTGCTTCTCCGCGGCTGAGCCGTCACGGGCACGTATCCCCAGCGACGGCAACATTGTCACCTGCCAGGAGCAGGACGACGAGCAGCCCGAGGGTGAGATCCTCGTGGGCATGGGCCTGTACGATCCGCCTGAGAAGGAGGTCATGGACCCGACTCTCCAGAGCTACCGCTCATCGGTTGCTCAGCTTCTCGGCTCGGCATACAAGTTCCCTGAGCCGACTGGCAAGGGCCTGAAGCTTGAGGATGCTTGGGAGCCTCCTGAGAACCTGGACGACGACGATGAGGAGGATGGCAACGAGAACGACGACGACCGCGATGCCGAAGGCGAGGACCAGTAGACGGTTAACCAATCGTCTTGTGTTATCAACCAACAACGTCTGCACTTTTTTTCACCAACTACAATTACCCAAGCGCCATTCATTTTATCGGCAACGATACAAAAAAAAAACACATTTCCTTTGTTTTTCTAATGACGACCGCATACGACAATGGCATCCTAACGAGTTTCTTACTTTTATCTTTTTCGGGTCTTCGGCTTCATGGGTCAAGGGGTTATTAGAAAGCAGGGCGCTTTGCAGGGAACATACAGGATATTTGGGAGGACAACCGGCATACAGAAATGGGCTCTTCGCAGAGCATGGGCCGACGTCCAGGGTTTTTTCTGTGCTCTTTGTTTTGGATTTCTGGGAAATCATTTATTTTTACTCTTCGGTTGGAAAAGTACACGGAAGCCTTTTCCATTATTATTTTCTTTGTTTTGAAGAGCACAGAAGCGAGCGGGCATACAGCGCTGTTTTTCTTTCGTCCTTGTTTATTCCGGTTTTCCAATCTTGGAAGTTCGAGGCATTTCCAAGTTTTTAATTTTGTTGATACAGAGATACCCATTTGGAGATTTAACATTCCCATATGAAAACAAAGAGAAGACCATCCTTTTTCAAACTTGTACTATTATTCCACTTTGTGATCATGCATGTGCGTGGCTGGTAAAGCATATGCCTGGGAAACGGAAAGGAAGCACATGTCAAGAAGAAAAACAGCAAGAGAACACAAATGGGGGGGGATGAGAGAGACATGTGACGCCCTCGTTCAGGGTGCAGTGACTTGGTGAGAAAGGACGCCAAGGTGCTATTCGTATCCATCGTCGTGACTCTCCTGCTGGTCCTCATCTCATGCTAGGGAGTTACACTTTGTGAAGCTCATGAGGTCCTTCAGCTATCCCTTTTGAGGCGATCAAGAAGAAAAAAGAAAGAAAAAAAAACAGAGGTTCAGATGTTGTTTCCTGTGTTTGGATTCCCCACCCCCTTTTTTGCACACTTGGCATGGCACTTTTTTGCACGGGCCACTTTTTATTTCTATTCGGGGTTTTGGGGGTTTTTCATGGGTCAATCCCTCTCTCCCTTGGCTGGTTCTTTTTGTTTCATTTTCTACAGTCTCAAGGGCCGTACCTGTGTGGGGTCCTCGTTTTCCCTCTGGTAGAAAATCTGCTCTCCTCCGAAGCAGAGCCGCCCCGCCGTCCTTTTGTTCCCAGACGTCCCAGGGGGTCAGAGACAGCCAGACAGCCCAAAAGACAGAGAAAGGCCTCTCAAAATCAACGACCGAGACCGAAAACTGGGGCCCAGGTCCCGTTTGGTCTAGCCCTTTTGCAGCACCTTTTTCCACTGAAATGTATGGAGCAATACAAAACACCCCCCCCCCCCCCCCTTCCGACAGGCACCCCCACACCCTCCCCTGGCGTCGTCGTTCTCGTTTTCTCGTGTACTCAACAGGTGCGTGCTGAGAGCTGTCGATTTGTTCGAGTTTATCCACGGCATCAGATGCCATCGTCTCAACCGTCCACGCTTGTTGACAACCAAAAAAATCAAACATGTCATGAGCGGGCGTCACTAAGAACAGATGTGAGTTCTTGGTCCAGTCCTCTTAAAGCCGTGGAGACTGAGGATGGAATGTAAGATATTAATGGTTGTTGGTGAATTACGAGAACGTGAGTAGAAAAGCATTGAAAATTTGTAAAAAATTATTTGAAGTCTACCATTTTTGTCGAGAAAATATTTATAAATAGAATAGAAAAACCAACCACAAAGCTACAAAGCATTGCAAAAGGCATGCACCAAAATGACGAGAGAGGCTTCGACGGTATCGTCTACCGAACAAACACAGCCTAAACCAGTCCCTGGAATCCGTCTATCTGGATTTTGCGTGTGGCCAGGTCAACAGCAAACGCGAGTGCTGCCCTGGCTGTGTCATCACTGACGTCCAGGTGCGGGCTCTCCCCCTGCACGCTTAGTGAAACCAGTTTGTACAGAATGCCGGCCACAAATGTATCGCCAGCGCCGACCGCACTGCCCTCCGTTAGCATACGAAAGTAAAAACAATCCGAGTTGGGGAGTTGACATGGTGGCCGGCCCCGTAATACATACTCGACAACCTTGGAGGTTGGGACCGGCGACGCCGGACAAGACACGACATGGTCTCCTGACCCCGGAGCGAGCGCCGAAGCGCCCTGTGCACCCCATGTGCAGAGAAGCAGTGAACTGAAAAGGCGGGCAGTTAGAGCGCGACTGGTCAAACATGGAAGAAAAGGGGTACTGTACAAAAAACACATACGCTTGAGGTAGCGACGCGGCTTCACCACAAAGGCAGGCTTCAGCACTGTCGTATCCTTGGTCCTAGAAGAAGAGGGTTGTCAGCACAAGTCCGCCGCGTGTCGAGCGCTGGCATTCAGGGCCACTCACCTCGGCCCAGGATTTGGAGTAAAAGACAACATCGGCCATGGCGGCCAGGTCTCGCAGTCCTTTGCGGTCGGGCTTCTCGACCTCCACACTAATGACAATGTCGTTGCTTGCGTCGCGCCTCGAGAGGAGATGCTCGATGCACGCCGAGGTCGTCTCGGGGATGCGGCCCTCGAAATGCCACCAGCTGCAGACGGTGGACGACGTGTGGCGCGTGGCGGCTGCGGGGGACGTCTGGCTGTCAAAAAATCGGACGGCCACCGCCAGGAACTCGTCCGCCGTCATGTCCGGCAGGTCGCTGTGGTTGACAATCGTGCGCGAGCCTGTGGCGGCCGACCGCAGGACGTAGCTGCTCGCGGGTGCCATGTGGCCGTCGCGGTACAGGCACAGATCAAGGTTGGGCCGGCGGGCGTCCCCGTCGACGCCAGCCGCTGCGGGGCGAAACGAGCGTGCGATCATGGCCGTCGCCGGCGCATCGCGCGCAGGGAGGCTCGCGACCAGGTACGTGGCCACTTCGGCGTCTTGGTCTGCGCCTGGTACGTTCGCGCTCTTTGGCGGCTGCAGCAGCTGCAGCAGCACCTCGATCGAGTTGGGACAGTTGCCGCCACGACGGATCTGGCAGGCAGTTGCGCGCAGCTTGTCGTCTTCGCCAGGAAATCGGGGAATGCTGTCGACGACGGGTCAGTAGAGGTGTTTTGGATGCTTTGAAGCTTCCAAGAGCCTTTGCTGTTGCTCGCACCTTAAGATTGTGTCGACATAGCATGCCCCGGTGAGAATGAGGTGCTTCATCGTGAAGCGAAATGGCCCCGAAGCCTACACCATGTGGGCGAAACTGGTGACGCTTCTCGTTCTTCACATTTCACTGGCTCAATGTGTATGGAACGAGACGGTCTTTTCCGAGACATGCCAACAAAGTTGGAGACCTTCAGTTTGGCTGGGGCTATTGGCTACGCCTTCGATATCGATGTGGACGAAGACAAGGAAAGAGCTGCATTTGAATATTGTTACCACGTGCGCGCTCCTTCTCTTCTCGTATGGCTTTACTTGTTGTTTGTATGTGTATAGGTGACGTTGTTTGTGGAAGCCGCGACTGAGAAAGTTGATAGCCTGAAATAACCAGAGGCAGCTGCGACCCAGTGCCGCTACACAGATGCAACGGATCACTAATCCCGACCACTAACAGCGCTGTAATTGCGGCTGAGCCACGCAGAAGCCTTCGCCTTACAGCGGGGTCTGGACGTATCGGACGTATGACGTCTGGCATTGGGAGCTTAATGCCGGGCGAGTCCGCGGAGGGGAAACGGAGCTTTAAAAGCGGAAGGAGCTTCACGATCGCGCTTTACGCGAGAGCAATTGCACAATCAACGCTCTGCAGCTATTTCCCCTCATCGCCCTCATTGCTCTTCTGCTGTCCCTCCCGAGTTACGCAGCACCGTATCGCAGACGCAGAACCGACGCAGTCGACGCAGCCGACGTAACGTCGATACACCTTTCGCCTACCGGCCCCACCGTCAATGTTCGCGGCACGCACGTTCCGACCACTCCTCCAGCAAACCCGCAGAAGTCTTGCCGCCGGTGTATGTGCATCGCCGTTCACATCTACGCTGTCTCTGCCCCTTCTTCTCCAGAAAACTGACAGACAGCAGCAGCGCGTACCCGTTCGCAAAATGCAGATCCAGTCGATCCCCATGTGTAAGTTGGTGGTGAGAGGGGTTGAAAGGACAGAGTGAGTCTGGGTGCGCCTCCGGGATGTCGCTAACATTTTGCAGGGGTCGGCAGCAGCGACAACTATGCCTATCTGGTTGTCGACGATGCCTCCAAGGACGCTGTCATCATCGATCCGGCACATCCGGAAGAGTAAGTTGATGTCGGAGGGGGAGCTCAGAGAGTACCCCCGGCAGCATATACTGACAATGCAACACCGAAAACAGGGTCGCACCTGTCCTCCAAAAGGCCATTGATGCCGGCAAGATCAACTTGACGGCCATTGTCAACACACATCAGTGAGTGGCGACAGCGACCAGACGTATCTTTTAATGGCAGGGTGATCCAAGCTAACCGCGACAGCCACTGGGACCATGCCGGTGGCAACACCAAGTTGGTAAGATGCCCTTCTTCCACCATATCTGGAACGCACCGCCCGCTAACAATGGCAGCGCGATCTGCTCAAGCTCCCCGAGCTGCCCATCATCGGCGGCAAGGACTGCCAGGCCGTCACCCAGACACCCGCCAACGGCAACGGCTTCAAGCTCGGCAAGGCCATCGCCGTCCAGGGCCTGTACACGCCCTGCCATACCCAGGACAGCATCTGCTGGTACTTGCAGGAGGGCGACAAGCGCGCCGTCTTTACCGGCGACACTCTGTTCCACGGCGGTAGGCAATTTCCTAGTACGCCTCTCTTTCCTGTGAATCTTCTGCTGACCGTGCCTGCTAGGCTGCGGCCGCTTTTTTGAGGGCTCGGCTGCCGAGATGCACAAGGCGCTCAACGAGACGCTCGCCAGCCTGCCGGACGATACGACTGTTTATGTGAGTCTCGACCCGTCACAACACGTGCTGCCAGCCTACACACCTGCATACCTACATGCTGACCGTCCCAGCCCGGCCACGAATACACAAAGGCCAATGTCAAGTTTGCCATCTCCGTCCTGCCCAGCGACGCCGTCAAGAAGTTGAAGGCGTTCGCCGACGAGCACAAGGAGACCCAGGGCCAGTTCACCATTGGTGATGAGAAGGAGCACAATGTGTTTATGCGTGTCACCGACCCTGAGATCCAACTGGCTACGGGCGAGTCGGAGCCCGTTGCCGTCATGGCCAAGCTGAGAGAGATGAAGAACAACTTTAAATAGATGATGACAGCAGTGAGCTGCCGATGACGACGTGATGAGGATGACACGACGTGACGAAGCTGAAAGGAAATCCAGAAAGGTTAAAAAGGGGCAGGAAATCGCATCTCTCTCAAACATTATATTGAATGTATTGGATGTCGCTTCTCTTGGAAAGGTATACAATTGTAAAATTCATCTCAAACACAGAATCTTGTCTCTCCTCATTTTATATGACTATATATTGGCGATGGAGGTTTATTGCTGTGATATTAAACTCAAAATAAGATATATTGACGCCTTGATATTTCCCGGACTGTGATAATAACTTGACTTTTGAAGTAGCAACTGACAACGAAAGACCCGGTTTCAAGAAACGAAAACGTGAGAATACAACCAAATGATGTATGGCGGAACGCAAATGCAAAAAAGACTACATAACGCCCAAGTATCCCAATACACAAGAAGAAACATACGAACACAAGAGGAAAATCGAGACAGACCAGAGAAAGAGCAAACAGAAAAAAACAACCAACTCTCGGCAAGCCAAAGCCAAAAATGAGCAGACAAGAAGTGGACAAGAAAAAGCAAAGTCCCAAGAAAAAGTACATCACAGCCCCCTTTTACTATCGTCCCCGCTTAATCGCTGTCGCTGTCGTCGCCGCCCTTGGACGCGGCGGCTGCGGCCTTCTTGGCCTTCTTCTCGGCCTTGCGCCGCTTGCGCTCGGCCTTCTCCTCGGCCGTCTCGTCGCCGTGCTTGGCCTTGCGCTTCTTCTCCTTGTCCTTGTCGTCGCCCTTGGCGGCCGTCGCGGGCGTGGTCATCTCCTGGTCCTCCTTGTCCTCCTTGTCCTCCTTCACCTCGGCGACCTTGGCCGGGGTGGCCGGGACCGCAGCGCCGTCCTCGAGCGGCTTGTTGTAGTCGACGTAGCCGGCGGTCCACTTGGCCGGGGTGGCCTCGTTGGTGCGGCCAAACTTGTCGAGCTTGCCGTCGGCCTTGAGCTTCTTCTTCTCGGTGGCGACGGGGCCGAGGCCCCAGCGGCGCGGGTACAGGTCGCGCTCCATGATGCAGCGCTTGACCTTGGCCACGACGCCGTGGTCGCACGTGCTCATCTCGACCGTCGACATCTGCGCAATGCCAATGGCAATGGCCTCGCCCTTGGTCGTCATGAGCACCACCTCCTCGTGCAGCTCGATGCCCGACTCGTAGCGCAGCAGGCCCGGCAGCATGAGCTTGGCGCCGTAGCAGACCGCGTTGACGGCGCTGTCCTTGACCACGAGGCGCTTGTACGACGTGAGGAGCGACTCGAGGGGCTGGATGATCTGCCGCAGGTACGACTCGTCGCGCGTGTTGTCGTAGAGCCACTGGGCGTCGAGGACGTCGTGGAGCGTGACGAGGTTCTTGGTCTCGTCCATGGCGCCGGAGCGGACACGGCGCAGCTCCTGCATGTGCGCGCCGACGCCCAGCAGCAGACCCAGGTGCACGCAGAGCGTCCGCATGTAGGTGCCGGCTTCGCAGGACGCCCAGAAGACGAACAGCCCGCGCTCGTTGTCGAACTCAATCACCTTGGACTCGTAGATCTGTACAGCTAGGTTAGGACGCGCGGAACGGTGAGGAATGGCGAGACACTGTCACCTGTCACAAAAAGGCGGAGAAAAAAAACATACACTGCGGATACGGAGCTGGCGCTTGACGGCGGAAATCAGCGGCGGGCGCTGGAACAGGGCACCGGTCAGGGTCTCGAGGGCACGCGCGACCTCGGGCTCTCCGCCGGCCACCTTGCCGTGCAGGCGTGCGATGCACACGTACTCCTTACCGGCACCCTGCTGCGACTTGACGAGGCGCGTGGCGCGGTCGACGCAGACAATCAGACAACCCGTCACTTTGGGCTGTTATTGTTGTTAGCGAGACGCTACATTGTGACAACAAAAGCAGGAGGGTAGAAACATACATCAAGGGTACCAGAGTGGCCAGTCTTCTCGACACTGTAGGGAAGCAGTCAGCTGTTGTCCTCTTTTTGGCCTGCACGTGGTGTATGTATATATATCAGCTGCGCCGTGGCTGGCGCTTCGAAGCGGCATTGGTACGCACCGGAGAATGCGCTTGATCCAGGCAACGACTTCGTGGCTCGAAGGATTCGACGGCTTGTCCAGGTTGATGACACCGGAGCTGATGTACGACTTGAGGTCGCGACGCAGCGGCGCGCTGCCGTGGGGGATGGGCGTGAAGTGACCGGTGCGGATTTGCACTGTTTTATTTGTTCAATTCAGTTAGATGTGTTCCGATGGTCAACAGGACCGAAAGGGCCAGGGACAAAGACGACTCACGCTTCTCAAAGTTCTTGAGCAGCAGCGGCCAGTCGTTGGTGTCGACCGCCGGCGCCGAGGCCTGCGGCTTGATGACCTGGTCGTCCTTGTCGTCCGCAGACATGTTGGCGGAAGACGTGTAAAAAAAAGAGGAAAGGAGGAAGGTAAAAAAAAAAGAGTCGAGTATATATTGACCGTCTCGAGATATGCCGTGTCGTCGCGTCTCGTCGGGGAGGAGGTCGGCCGAGGTCGTCGTGGTTCGTGAACAAGCGTAAAGGTAAAGAGAGACAGCTCCTAACAGAAACTTTTGCGAAAGGCTCGATCGACTTGAAAAAAAAGTTCACAGCTGAAGGGACTGAAAGAAAAAATGGCTGCTGGTGTGGAAATAAGCGGGGATTTTGCAGGTATTGGAGCCTGTGATTGGTTACGTGCCAGGTGAGTGATAAGATAAGAGATCTGCTAGCGTAGGCTTCACCAGCCACAAAGAACAGCCACAGTAAAGTATTGGCGATCTGTTGACTAAGTCCTTAAGCTTTCCAAACATTAAATGCTAATTCAAACAGTCAAAAGCCATCAGAATTTAATAAAATATCGTGTGAGTGACATAAATATATATATAAATATCGCATTCATTGCAGATGCCTGAGAGGCTGTGATGAGAGA